GTTTAAGAGATACATTATTTTTATGTTTGCTATTTTAATTTCTATGAAAATATAAATATGTTTCTCTCTCTCTCTCTCTTTTTTTTTTAGGAATAATTTGATTTATATAGTTGAAATTCGTGATTCATATATATATATATATATATATATATAAAGAAATAATTTATTTCATAAATTTTAGATTATGGAATTTATTTGGGAACATCTTTATTTAAAATAAAAATATTTTTTGTTTTATTTGAAGAAATTATTTGATCTAATCTTATTGATATATTTTAAATGTATCTGTGAATGAAGCAACAAATGTTATACAAATATTATACAAATTATTTCTATGTAATTTCTAATCCATGGCCATTAGAATGGAACATATTTCGTTGTTATATAAACTACCTTCGACAAGGGTGAAACCAGAATGGGAATCAGAGAATTCACGTAGTTTCCAACGGAATTTGAACATGAGCTACAAGATTAACGCAACTACAGCTAGTTTACATTAATTAAGCGCAATAACTACAATTTATGCACTATGCAAAGATAAATACGTCAAATTTATTGAAATTTCGAATAGAATCACTTTCTAATAAATTCGATATAATTACCTTAATGAACGTAATTCTTAACCATCACGAATTTAAAACTAGAGAGAAAATGAACTAAGAGAGCAAATTAAAATCGTCCAGTTCAAAAAATTGCAAATGAGAAAAACTTAACAATATCGAATCTTTGAAAATATCGATCTTATTTCTATTGAGAGTATTACTTGAATTAATTAAACTGGCTGGATTAATAACAGGTTTCTCCACGATTGATTAATTATTTCAAATGTCCTTTTCTCTCGTTCGAAACGATAGTTTAATTTAAAAAAATAATGATTTAATTTTTCAGATTATTTCATTCAATAATAAAATAATCAATCATAAAATAAAACAAGCAAACAAATAATTGATTTATTCAACTAATATCAGAAAGAGGAAAATATTATTTTAAATAAAGTATCGTTCGAATATAAAAAATATATCAAAATATGCAATTTTTGCAAAATATCAGTGATTTTATAATGTAAATTTACTTATACAAAATTTACAATAAAAATAACTTTTCTGTGACATTCTACAATATAATATAAATTATTGGAATTTTCTTCTACAAAAATATTATATCATTCAAAATTTTTCCAATTTTTAATACTATATCGTAATCAAAACTTTCATTAAATCTATTTATATAATATTCAATTATATAAATAGAGAAGAAAACTATATAACATGTGTAATATATTTGCATATTTTCATAATTCTCATTTCAATAATAATAAAATATAATTTTTAAGGATAGATATAAATTCATTATTAATTGCAAAATTGAGTAGGAGAATCGAGCAATTCATTGAACGCGTAACAGGATGAAGAGGAAGATGTCGTAAGTTAGTCGCGAGTTCTGGACTTGGACTAATTAAAAGCACGCTCCAATTAAGCCGAAATAACGAGGGTTTGCGTTCACATCGTGCCATGGGTAAACTCTGTTCAACCACGAAATTTCTGATCCTTTTCCTATATGTAGCTGCGGGTGATGGTTAACAATAGTGGTAACGAAATTGCTGTCCATTCTTTGCCCAATTTCGATGCCAATCTATGTATCTGCAAATCGATTTCTTGTTATTCACGTGGGATCGAGTTGTTATTAAATTTTTCCTCGGGCCTCCGATATTTGTCAATTTCAATTCTGTTTGGAATCGTATCAATTCTATCATTTTTTCTTTCCTCTCTTTCTTTGGAACGATGAACTTTTTTTTCTTTTTACTTTTAGAAACGATGGTAAACCTTGACCATGAAAAGATTACTGTTTTTCAAATATTTATTTTTCATTCTGATAAAAGAATTTTTTATTTTTATTATTGCAAAAATTCCTTCTCTTCAACCATGTCAAAATTATAATTTCATTCTCTCGAAACTCAATTATTCGCTTACCCAATTTTCTTGCAGGTTCCTTTCGACTGGAAAGCCACCGAAATTGAGAAAATTCCTATTATTTTCGTCCACGAAACTGATAATGCAAGCAACGACGCACCCAAAAAGCAGTTAACGTTGATTATTTTCCTCGATAACAACTCTCCCCTGCGCGGTTCCTCGCGTTTCCGTCGAATTTCCTGTTAGTTCGCGTCGAATAACGCGCGTTGTTCCACCCCATCGCGTTCCATGTTTAAACATCGTAGCAACGATATCGTAGCTACCGTATATGGATCAATGAGTCCAGATTCTCGATTCGCTTATTAACGAGAGATAAAGCCAATAAAAATCGTGCGAAAATTAACTCCGTGGAAATATCCTTCCGATTAACTCGTAATGCACCGTTCCACGGTTAATTAGGGAATCGGCTGATGTCGAATCATTTTAAAAAGCAGAATATTTTTCTTTTGTATATTCCATTTCGTGGAAATTTTCTTCTATTTGTTTTCAATTTGGTTAGACGAATGAAAGATTGATAATAGCTCGTCTATCACAAATTTTTGGAAATTTATTTAATCCGAAAATATGATTTTGAAATTGATTTTATTCTTGTGTGTATCGAAATATGAAATTTAAAATTCGTATTATCGGATAATTAATCGTATCATGTAATTAATGTATACCACGATAGAATATAAAAAGACGTATTTATTACCGATGATGACATAATTATAATTATAATTAAAACGATAATAAGCAATGAGATGAAATTGAAAACACATTATTAAAGCCATCGACAATTTTATAGGAAATTTCACATTTTAAGTACGAGTAAAAAAAGATTTTGATAATAAAAATAATACAAATAATACAACGAAAAAGGTGATAAAAAGGTGCAAATTCCAAACACAATTTAAATAAACGAATGTTTTTTAATCTGTTTAAAATAATTATATTTCGCTTTGAATATTTTATTTTCGTAGATTTTTCAATTGCAATTGAATTTTTACGAACGATATTACTTATGGAAAATGAGAATTAATTATCTGCCGATTAAATAACATTTCTTAAACGTGATGATAATATAGAAAAGTGTCTTTAGATATCTTTAGAAAATTTGTCTAAAAGTTTTAAGAGCAATCGGGAAACTTGTCAAAGAAGTTGAATGTTTCCTTATCTCTAGAAAACTTGGCAAGTTCTCCACAAGGACCACATAGAGATCTCGTTTGCTCTCGTGTTTGTCATAATCAAACATATATCGTACGTGTGTTTGCGCCGAAAATTAGAGCCGCATAAAGCAACAAAGAGAATCCCAATTGATTTCACGTCCAAGAGGATAAAATAAAAGAAGGAAGAAGAAAATTGATTCGATCCTTTGTGGCGAATATCAGATGGATAAACAATTTTCGGTATATACTCATCGGGAAAATAACTTGTCAGCTCATGGTCGGTTATTTTTGCAAATGAAATTGCAACAAAATTTCAACAAAAATAGGAAATCCGATTTGGCCAGAAATAAATTGCAATCTGATCAATGAGCTTTTTGTGGCTTTGTATGTGCGCAGAAACAAAAATATGCTGGCGGAAATAATTAGATTGTTGAATGAAGTGACTTTGATATTCCTCTCGAATTTTACACGAATTAATAATACGATTGTTATTGTCAATCTCGAAATTGTGTATTATATTTTGGTATAAAAATATCGACGACGAGGGAACGCGCTCATTTCTAATTTTGATTTGATGATGATAATTTAACAAGCATCAATGAATAATAATTCAAGAGTTAATATTGTTTATTTAATATTTATCTCAAATTATATTCGTAGCAATTTGTTTTTCTTTCTGCGATAAATTGAATTAAATTAAATGATATTATAACAAATATTAACAATTTTGTGAAAGAGCCGATAATAAACGAAGTTAACAACAATTACATCATCGATTATATATTACACGAATCGATAACATGACGCGTTTATTGAGATTCGATTAACAGAATAACAGTCTTAATATAATAGAACGAAATTTTTCGAGAAGGGAATGATGAAATCACGAAGAGTTAAAAGAACTGGCATCCTACTCGTGTGCAAACGACAAACACTTTTTTAATTTTCGCCGAAGAGTATGAAATGAATATGAAACGCGCTTCCAGGTTGGCGCCACGATGCTAATGTCATGCTCCTGCCTCTCTTTTCAACGCTTGTGACGGGTGTCTGGATTATTTTCATAATAGCGGAAGACGTGCAACCTCGTTTATAAAATTCTCTCTGCTATCATCGTGAAAAATAACGGGTGACCAAAATTATTTCCCTTATTTTTTTATTAGTATTTCGAACGAGTTTTATCTTTATTCCTTGCAAGTTTCTCATTTATTTTTTTTTTTTCTTTTTCAGATTTATAGACAATGTGATTTATATTATCTTCTTTTATTTATTTAAGTAAGTAATATTACAATTTGATTTCAAATTTAATTTATATGTTTGCAATTTAATTCATATTAAGATTAACAAATATTTACAAAAACTTTGCACGAATAAAAATTTCTTGGAAATTTATTATAAAAAGAAGGATAGTTAATTTTTGTTGAAACATTTTGTTTTTAATATTCGTCGTCCACATTCTAATTACCAAATACTCATAGCAATATCTTCATTTTCTCCATTTAATTAATTAAATTAATACATTAATCTCTCTAACTTCCACACAAGAAAAGCTAACAATTCGTTGTATGAATTATAAATTCTTCAATACGAATACAAAACCAATAACATCCGCAACATTTTCCATAAAACCTAAACCTAACTATTGCAAAAATATATTCGAATAAAAATTCTTCGTTGAAGGGAAAAATTTACAATTATTCGACACGTTTATTTATTTTTCAAGAAAAGTAAATTTGTTCACCCTTTTGAGCGAATGATTTTAACTGGGTTGCACAATTTAGACGATTTCCTGGACTGGTAAAAAAAAAAGGGGACGATTCAGAAGAGTATTTAACGCGATATTTAAATCTTTGATCGACACTAACAAAAGACTTGTCTTTTTCAGGCGGAGCCGGCGCTCATGTACGACAGTGTGCAGGTGTTCGCCATTGGATTGAGGACCTTGGAACAGTCGCACGCGCTCAGGCCTGCCAACATCTCCTGCGAGATGGAACACCCCTGGGATGGAGGTTTGTCCCTCATAAACTACATCAACTCGGTGAGTTTCCACTTTTGCGCATGCTTTTGTAAAGAGACGTGGCTAGTGTAATTATTCTCGTGTGTATTTAAATCGTGTATTTTCGCGCCTTGTAGATTCTCGTAGAACTATTATAATTTTAATTACATACGTTGACTCGTTCATATATATTGTAGATTATTGTTCTCAAGTTAATTGTTTTAAAATTAATTAGATTTTCGTGGCACATAATTTCGTGGCATATAATTATCTTACAATTTTATTCGCTTGGAGACACATTATTCGAAGATGATACATTTTAGACGAAGATTTCAGTATCGAATAATTTCGCAAATAAAAACTTCGTTTCTGTCTGAATGACGAAGATTAAGCGAGGCACGCTGGATATTTCGTGATATATCTCGAGAAGTATTTGGACAGGGAACGTTCTTCGAAACGGAATTTAATGTTTCATCGCATTAGCGGGTCACGTTATTCACAGAATGATTGTGAATCGTCTGTGAGAACGCTTAAATCGAATTTAGATTTCCGAATATATAATTCATCCACGGTGTAACGTTTCCATCTTTTTCATTGTTCAAAATGAACATACAAACTGAACGAAATAGTTTCTATCTTCAATCGCAAGGATCAATAATTCTCAACTCTTCGTCCACCATGGATACTTTACCTTCAAAGTAACTTTTCGTTTCCCAAGATTTAAATTTGCATTATCAAATGTACTACATTCACATCTGTTAAATTCATCGAAATTGTCAATCACTCTTGAGTTTGAGATTTATTACGAGTAATAATAGAATAAGAAACATCGGATACTTTCTCTCGATCATTGATTCGCATGTGTGAGAACTGCGTGGTTCGAGAATTCAATTTTCCTTGTTCAATACGAGAATATCGTCGTGCACGATCATTTCGAATTTCATATACGGAATATTGTTCAGAACGCATTTTACGAAATGAAACACGTCGGGGAGAGGATCGGTTCGTCCACCGATCCACTTTCAACGGGCAGCGACGTTTGTTACAACGCACGAAGAAACTTAGTCGACGGTTCGGGATGAATTACGGGATGCAAAGGGACTGGCCGGCTGCCAGAAACAACCGCATTCGCGATAATTGCGAGTCCTTTCCCGAAAGACGAATGGCTGTTTCACTCGCGAAAATTTCGAGAAAAACGATTTTAATCCCGTGCCGCGTTATAGTTACTCGTTTTCGAGGGGAATTTCGTTGCAGTTTGCAATTTACGAAATTTCGATCCGGGGGAGGGAAAGGAGGGATCGTTTAATGAAACTTTTGAAATTTTCCACGATTTCAATAACGAACGGATTTCCGTTAAAATTGGAAATGGGTATATTAAGCTCGATCGCCTCGATAGCTCGCCTAATTGTAACCGTTTCGCAGGAAATAGAATATAACAGATTAAAGCGATCTCATGGTTAATAACACGTTCGATAATCGATTTTGTTTAGATGATACACGTGAATCGAGAGCCATGCATAGAGAAGCGAGGACACGAGGAATTTTCGAGTTATTAAGCGCAATAAAATAATTTATATCGCATAATGGTGAGATGTTAATAAAAAAAAAAAAGCAATTCAATACAATTTTTCGTGCATTAAAAATTTCTTTCTTTTTCAGTATTCAATAAAAAATATTTTTTAATTAACAAAACAACGATAAATTGGTGATGGGTGATTGTGTACATTTTGATGAAAATTAATTTCAAATTTAAAAAGTTTGCCCAAAGTTGAAATTAATTAATTCAATCATCAAGTTATAAACAAATAACCAATAATTTGATGTATCATTTTGATACGTGGATCCACGTATGTTATTATGAAAGATAATTTATTTAATATTGATTCGAAGCAGTAATTTTTTTTTTTATTTTCCTAAATTTATTACGAATGAATCTTTCTCTTGTTGCACTCTTGTTCCAGATCGCACACGAGTGTCCACATTCTATCAATCGTGTCGCCATTCATATTCAATCGTTTTACGAGATCAACGTATGGAAAAACTGTTTCTATGAATATCAATGAACATTTTCCAAACATCAAATGTGAATAAACTTAACAACAAATAATTTCCAGCCTGTCAGGCGCATTGACTATAATTTATTCGAAAGTAAGTGAGTAGCTCGTGCATTTTTTCTTTGGGTAAAACAACACCGTTTGTCATTATCGAAACAATTGCTACTATAAAATTCAATTTCACATCATGGTATTACGTGGCAATTTCCGACGAATTGACGTTATCTTTAATAGATTGAATCGAAGTTGCACGCTCGATACTTGAATAATTAATAACCAGTTACGAGATTTTCGACGTTACACCTTTACCAATATTCGATAACTGTAAAGGTCAGTTGAGTAGATTCAAAGGGTTCGACATTTGCAAGTATCTCGTGGGAGAACATTTGTGTGCGGAAGATTATTAATTCACTAAAGTGTCTAAATTCCAATATCGATTCTGCCTTAAGGAATCTCTCGATACATATCATCTTTCACAGAATGTTTAAAAATTTTATTAGCCTACTTTACTCAAATCCTGATAATAAAAGAGATTCGATTTCAAATTCAGGGAAAAGCAATGAAGCAAGAATCAAATTCTGTTGAGAAATATTGATTTAAAAGCAATAAATTGAACATATACCTGGAAGAAATATGTTTCATAAATAATTATCAATCAACGAAGAGAAAAACGCAACGAGGAAAAGAATCGGCAGAAAGAAAGGCGTATCGTTCGAGGGGATGGAAGAAACGTAAAAAGTTGGTGCGTAGGAAGGGAAGAAACCTTTTAAAGCGAAAGCTTTGACCATCGAGAAAGAAATAAGCCATTAAATCTGCCAAAGGAAGTATTTTTAAAAAGAAATAATAAATCGGTGAGAAGCGTCATGGTTATAAACAAGAAATAAAGAGCCTCTCGAAAAATGAAAAATCATTTTTCAATGGGACTCCCGTTTCGAACGGAGAGAAATGAATTGAATTTATATCGTTTGTTATACACAATTTCGCCCGGCACAATGTTCAACGCGGTGTGTAACATAGAACCGTTCTCCGCCTTTATGAATGCGACGCGACGTATCGACATTCGTGCGATAAGCAGCGATGTTCGATTTACCGCGAAATCGTTTTGATTTACGAGCCCACCGGCATTCACACGGCTGCGTACTTATGCCTTGTGCGGAAGATTAGTCGCGTAATCGTATCTTCTGTTCCGGAAGGAGATAATTGAATCGTATTTTGGAGAAAAGGGGATAAATTGGTACGTGGTGTGAAGCTGAGCCAAGAGGAGAAATTGAATACGTGACGGAAATTAATAGCCGTTTAATACTCCGATGAAACACAGGATGAAATATAATCGTGGTAAAGTGAAAAAAAAAAAATCATCAATTGCATTTTTTCCATTATGAATCATTCGATGTTTTCAATACAGGCCATTTTTGAATTACGAGGAAATATTATTGGATGTCATTGTTTAATACAATGTTGTTGTCTCATAATTATAGTAAAAAGTGTAGATAAAAAGTTAGACAAATAAGATAACGTTAGCTAGAGTTGTAAAAGTAATGTAAGTCGATCATTGATACGTAAGATAGAATAATCGTGATCGGATTAAAAATTATAGTCATTGTTGATTATAATAGAACAATCATGATCGATCAAAGATAATAGGCTCGTCACGATCAATCAAATGGTGAATACAACAATTATAATCAATTGAGAGCAATACGTCAATCATTATAATAGATCAATTAAGAATAAAAATAATTATTTAAACAAGTCTAATTAGCAAATAGAATAGAGCAATATTCAATGATTATACTCGATATTCAGTAATAAAAAACATAAATGAAAATGGCGTGATAAAGTAATGATAGATTGCAGACTCGACAATATCTGTTAAAGAATCACCATCGCACAAAAAAAGAACATGTCGATTCTTTTATATATATCCCTCTTTTAACAATATTCTTTAACTTCTTTTTTCATATTTGATCCATTATTCAATTTTGAACGATCGTCCACCATGCTTGTTTCGTCGAGCATGTTTCAGAAAATGTTTTCGCACGACGAACCCATTTATAGAGCCATCAAACGAACCCGTGGCGGTTTTCGAACGGCTCCGTTAAATCGATTTTGTAACCGAGCCCTAACGACCCCATTTCCCCCCCGATTCACTGGCGGCAAAGTATTTCTAAATTGAGAAAAGGAACCCGATTTGCCAGAATTGTGCCAACGGGTATAAACAGAGGGGGGGATAGGCCAGGCTCGTGCCAAAATTTGGTCTAAAGATGGTCGGGAAAGCGTACGGACAAACAACGCGGAATAGCTAATCCCGCGATAAACGCGTTTGGAAACGCGCCAAGTAGTTTTATGACTTGGGCGTTATCACGCCGCGCTTTTCAAACGGCGGAAAAAAGTGTCGTTTATGAACGCTGTAGCTCGTTACCGCCGTTAAAACCGTAAACACCGGCCACGTTTTAAAATCGTTACCCATTTCTTACGCGATGTTCTCTCTCTCTCTCTCTCTCTCGCGCGCGCACGCAACCATTTTACGATCTGTCCTAATTAACTCGTTAAATGTGTTCGACGACAAGCATACTTTGTCACGAAGAAATGGCCGTTTCACCGCGTTACGAGAAGAATACTCGACGCTGGGAAAAATATACGCGTCGCGTTATTCACATTTATTTTTAAATGTTATTTTTTTATTTTATATATTTTTAATTTATTTTTAAATGAAAAAATAAATATAATCATAAAGTTCTAGTAGAGCGATATCTTTATAAAAATATGAAAAATATTCGAATGAAATCGAATCAAACAATATTTGAAACGACATTGTTTGACAAATGATACACGTTGTATTATATTATATTATATTATATTATGAAAAGTTTGTTCTCTTCAGCTTGTCTCTTTACACAAATCGTTTTTCGCATTACCACTTGTTTTCATCTCGAACTCCCTTTCTCCTTCTATTCGTATTCCTCGCGCGCAGATACATTTCTCAAA